ATCGCATTCACCTGTTTAGGCCGCGTGTGTACCCAGCCATTTCATTTTTTATCTGATGGTTCTTCTTGCTTCAGAGATACACAAGCGTTTCTGAGGTAAACTGTGTGTTTGTTTGTATGAGTGAGCTTCAAGAAGAGAGAAGTAATCTCTCTCGACGCATGTGTATTTATTTTTTTTTTTAGTCTTCTACTTCTACTTTTCCAACTTTGATCTTGTCGCCCCTTCGACGCAGCGAGTGAGAGAAGAACAGAGAGTTTTTGCATGACTCAGGCTTGGATGTGAGTGGGCATCGGATTCAGCATTAAGAAAGTAAGGACATTTAAATTAATTGTTCTATCATCCAAATCTTCTCAAGTGGTTGTGTAAGACGAGTCGTCCTACTGGGAGCCACGACCCGTACGAGTCGCTGTGAAGTTGAGTGTATGGCGAGAGAGCTAGAGTGAGAGAGAGAGAGAGAGCGTGTGTGTGTGACTCGTCCATAACACATGAGTAATAATTAATCAGCGAAGTGGTGTGTGGACACGTGTGAGCTCCTACTGGGTGTTGCTCAGCTATGAGTGCGAGCGCGGCCGGGGTGCGGCCAAGGGCCTCCTCCTCCTCCTCCTCCACCTCATGGGACCCCTCCTCCCGCCAGCACTACCAGCTGTTCCAGTCTGAGTGGCATCCTGACCAGTGTCAATGCCAAGAATGTGCACGGGACCGACATAGGGCGGAGGACGAGGTGCTGACGCAATTCGAGGAGGAGATGGATCGTCTGGAGGACGAGGTGGGGCGGACTCAAGAGTTCTCGTCGAGGTCGAAGAGGTTCATCGAACCTGATGAAGAGAATGAGGAGGAAGAGGAAGGAAGGATAGGGGGAGAAGGGGAAGAAAAGCAGAAATTGCGAGCCCGGAGATGGCGAGAATTCGAGGAGTTTCTCGGGTGTGAGGAGTTGGAGGAGGAGGGAGAGGGAGTGGGTGGCGGGGAGGCCCCAAGCATCACGTGGACGCGGCCGCCCCCGCCCGCCCTCACTGGCGCTAGCAACAGCTTCAACAGTGTGCCTGATGAGGAGTACGACCCGCGCCCTCGTCGCCTCCACGCCCTGAACGGCAACATTCCGCTGCCTGACGACCTCTGCGACGACCACCCGGCGGGGGACAACTGCCCCCACTACATCGAAGATCACAATCTTGGTGCGGACGACCGGCGACCGGCGACGCAGGGGGAGGCCAGGGGAAATGAGGCGGGGGGGCAGGGAGGGAGAGGCACGTCTCAGGGGTTCGAGTGCCACAACGAGGCCATCTACAAAACTGCCAAGGCCAACAGGAGAGACGACGACGGCGACGACGACTCCAACAACAATAACAGCAACCTGAACGGCAACGGGAGAAGGAGCAAAATGCAATCCTTCACTCTCCGCATCAGGACTTCCATCAAGAAAAGGTAGCCGAGTGTAGTCCCCCTCACCGTAGCCCCCAGCAGTAGCCCAGTCGCATCGATAGCCCAGCCCAGTCCAGCCCAGCCGAGATAAGGCCCAGACCAGTCCTTGGCGCTAAACAGCCCCTCCCTCTCCCTCTCCCTTTTGCTCCTTACCCCATATCCTTCTCCCTTTTTCTCCTCCTTTATCCTACTCCCCTTTTCTCCTCCCTTATCCTACTCTCTCATCCTTCTCCGTTTACGCTCTCGGGTCTCCTTTTTTCCCTTCCCGTCTTCTCCATCCTTCCGTCCTTCGCTCTTGGTACGCTCGGCGACGCTTGTCCGTAGAGGCGTAAACCACAGTTCGCAGATTCTTACCTTCCCTCGAGTGGTTTTTGCATAGTTCTCATTCACGGCAGGTACTGGAGACGCTCGTCATGTAGTGAAGATGCACTCTCTCTCTCTCTCTCTCTCTCTCTCTCTCTCTCTCTCTCTCTCTCTCTCTCTCTCTCTCTCTCTCTCTCTCTCTCTCTCTCTCTCTTTCTTTCTTCTCTCTCTCTCTCTTTCTTCTCTCTCTCTCTCTTTCTTCTCTCTCTCTCTCTCTTTCCTCTCTCTCTCTCTTTTCTTCTCTCTCTCTCTTTCTTTCTTCTCTCTCTCTTCTTTGTCTCTCTCTTTCTTTGTTCTCTCTCTCTTTCTTCTCTCTCTCTCTCTTTCTTCTCTCTCTCTCTCTTTCTTCTCTCTCTCTCTTTCTTCTCTCTCTCTCTCTCTCTCTCTCTCTCTCTCTCTCTCTCTCTCTCTCTCTCTCTCTCTCTCTCTCTCTCTCTCTCTCTCTCTCTCTCTCTCTCTCTCTTCTCTCTCTCTCTCTCTCTCTCTCTTCTTCTCTCTCTCTCTCTCTTTCTTTCTCTCTCTTTCTCTCTCTTTCTCTCTCTCTCTCTTTCTCTCTCTCTCTCTTTCCCCTCTCTCTCTCTTCCCTCCCTTCCTCCCTCCCATCCTCATTCGCCTCCCTCCCATCCTCATTCCCCTCACTCTCTTTCTTACTATGTTTCTCTTTCTTCCTATCACTCTCTTTCTCCTCTCCTCACTTCTGCCAGTGTGGAGCAGCTGC